TGGCACAGGTATGTAATAAGATTTTCACGAATGATGGAAAATAATAACAATAATAAAAAGCAAGTCTTAATCTGAAACGCGTTTTAAAGTCTAAGATACTGACCCTACATACGCAGGTTTTCGGTAGAAAACAGGAACTTCTGAACCGTAAAAGCAGTGTTCATTAAAAAAAAAAAATCATCCAATGACTACAGCCATTACCCTAAAACAGATTAAAACCTTTTAGTGGTTTTCGAAAGATTGAATTTTTTTTATGACGATAATATTATTACCCCTTCTTGCTACCAAGATTTCCCCGCTTGATTCTGCTGCCACCTTTATTAGTCACAGGTGCTCAAATATAATTGGTAATATGCATAACAGTTTTTGTGACTGTTCGCACAAATAATCAATGACATCGGAACTACAACGGACATCTAAGGTAAAGTGATAAAAAATCTCTTCTCGACTTTTAAATTATGACCGGTCAATTTCACGTGGAAACTAAGATGTGAACAGTATAATTTAGATAGGTGTCGAAGAGATACAGCAGGAGATGATCCATCAAAAAAAGATCCCAGATCAAAAAGTTCTTTTAAAAAATGCTGAAACAACACCGCTGGCGATGAACATATGACAAACCTGAAATGAGACTTGTCATCTGAATTCCAATTTGTTTCTTTTGTTTAACTCCCCAAAATCATATGTACCAACGACAGAAAAAAATTGATAACTTCCCTTGAGTGAGAGAGCAAAATGTTTTCCAAAAAAAAGCTTATTTTACAGTCGCCTATCATTTCTTTGCACTCTTCTTTTGCTTTAATCCCACAAAGCATGTTGAACAAATACAAGAAAAAAAAAAAGAAAATGAATACACAGCGAGACAGGTTTGCCTTCATGCCAACTAATAAAATATAAGGTCATGGTTGAATGCACGTTTGACAGGAAAAAATTAAAAGAAAAGCTAGTGAAAAATAAAAATCCATCAGCAATTTTGTCTGTATCAATACAATTATTTTTCGTTTTGAGGTGTAAAGTTTTTTTGTTAAAACCGCGTTCAAACTGAGTTAATATCAATGCTTATTTTGTAGTTAAAACTGTAAACTTTTTCAGTGAATCATCAGTTAATTAGAAGTGATGAAACTAACAATCGAGCTTTAAATTCATAAAATCATCTTAAAATCAAAAAAGTGAAGCAAATTTGTTAAGTGAATTTAAGCCAAAAAAACAATTATTATTTCCATCAAAAAAGATCAGCGATTAATATCTCCTCACTTTTTATTTTTTTTTTTTTTGTTTTATTTTTTTTTTTTCGGTATATATGCACACACAAAAAAAAGAAAATAATAATTATATCAAAATGGTTGAGACAAGATTCTATGCATTTTAATTTTAGATTGTTGACAAAAAAAAAAAAAAAAACTAAATTGCTCCAGTTAGCATTGCCTATGCCAACCGAATAAATTGCTTAGGTACTAGATAGAGTCTTTCAAAAAACATAGCCCATTCCATTTATATTCATTTTAAATCCTCAGCAAGAAACAGAATTATCCACACTTTTGCTTACAAATGAAAAATAGCAAAAAATTATGGAAAAAAATTACACCTCAACAGATGGACTTTTTTAGCTGTTCAAAAATGCCTCACTTTATAAGACTACCCAAAGAATGCAATACCTCAGATATAGCCAAAACCCTCATCGTATGTGAAGAAAGCAACTAAATCTGTTTACAGATATGCAGTACCTGAGCTACAGTTTTTGCTTTTTCCTTTCCAAACAAATTCCATTAATTTTTGCAACAAAAAAATTTTTTTAAAATTCTAAACTGTAAAAGACTGCAGAATCTTTAACAGGAAAATAAATGAACTGCAAAGAAACAGTTAACAGCCAACAGCAGAAGTAACAACGACTACTTTTACTTCGTTGTTTCAAACACGATTTCTTTTACAGTTAACTACAAGAAACCAGATCACCGACTAATCAAAAAAATTGCAACTTCTGATGCATAAAATGTTGACTCACTATATTTTGCCATTTGCCACTTTCTTCGCAACAACAACCTCAAAACACTGTTTAAATTATACTGAGCTGACAAAATTGCAAAAAATTTTCACTACTCCAGTGCTATCTCAGAAATTTTCATCTGCCTACTTTCCAGTCATAAAACTCAAAACAATTTTTGAACGTCTCATATAAACAGTCAACCGTCCACTGACTTTTTTCGAAACAGTCTGACTAGGACTAGTCTAGTTGCAACACATCAAAAAATGAAAGAACCGTTCACTTGCATTACAAAAAAAAAAAAAAAAAAAAAAAAAAAAAAA